AATATACGCGATGCCGTTCGCAAATGAATGACATGAATTCGTAATGAATTCGCGATCGCTCGCGTTCGTCGATTAAATAAAGACGCGGCAACGAACAGATAATAATCGAGAGAAAAGAATCGTAGCGTAGATTTTACGACGATACAGAATATCGACAGAGCCTTCGCAACTCTTTCGGGATAGAACGGCTCGACAAAGAATTTTCGGAACATTGAATCTCAACTTTAGAAATGATCCGGCACAATACGCTTTCAAACGACGTATCTGCTTGAAGCGACCAAACTATCTCCCCCCAGTCGTTGTCGTTCTCGATATTTGCAGCATAGATGCCCGACCGAAAATTCTAAGGGTGGCAAGAGTCGACGTATAGCTGTAGCGCGCAAGTTTCCTAACTACGATCAACTATGCAAGACGCCATTACTGCGTATAGTTCTCTGGCACGGAGCTCAAGACTTCCTGTCCCGCGTATAACTATTTTGTCTTCTGGTAGACCGAAGGACCCGTCAAACCTCGGTAATCGCGTAACTACGCGGAAACTTCGGCCGCGTTCGGCAAATTCGAGGAATTTTTAATCGTCCGTGACGCGCTCCGCGACGTTTCCGCGTACAAATTTGTTCGGATCGTTTGCAGCTGCAACGAAAATTAATACGATACTTTAGACCGCGGATTCCGTCGAATCGTTTCCACGTCGGTGTAAACCACATTGTAGTCGTGTTCAATGAGGCATGAGACGCATGAAATTTGCATTATACGTATATTACATCGGTATAATGCGATACTCGTTTCCACGGAGAATCGTCTAATTAATAGGTAGGCAATAGCATCCAATGGCAACAGCTTATTCAGCGAGTTCGATAATTTAATAGAGACCCTTGCACGAGGTTCCCACCCAATTACTAAACGTTTGTAAACGATAAATCGAACGGTCGCGGTATATCTCCGGTTGAAAATATTTCGCGTGCGTCTACTTTTATAGAATCTGCCGAACTTCGAATACCTTTCGGTCGGTTTTATCGTTTATCTATTTCGGTATAAAATACAGAGAGCGTCGTATTATTTTCTAATTCGATACGCGAAGATTGGGCGAGCTATTGTTGCATCAGTCTGTAAGAATGCCCCGACAGCGAACGGCGGAAGTATTTGCGGGATTTGTTCGATATTTCATAAACCAAGCGGCGGTATCGGTGTAAGATTTCATTGAGAACGAAGTCGGCCACCCTCCTTTGAAGAATGCGCTTTGGCCAGACCGAGATAGGGTACGAGGGGTTGTACAGCTTGAAATAATCGATATCGCAATCTCGTAAAGATTCTAGAATATTTTAAAGCTGCCAGAAAATTCTCCCATAATATTTACGTTCACGTGCATGTTCATAAAACAATTTCATCTTTAAACGCGAATTGCACGTGTTACAAAATTTTTAAATCAAAGTACAGTAATGTCTCCCCGATCGACGCTCGGATTGTGCACAAAAATGGACAATTTGGGAAAAGAAAATACGATTATTCGAGCCGCTCATTTTTACAGTCAACAATCCGATTGTCGATAATTACAAAAACGAGGCCAGAATAATCGCGTCTCCTCTTCCCAAATTTTTGCTTACAAACTGAAGGAAAATTAGGAAGAATCGTCCTAGATTTTGAAACAGTTTCGCTCCTAGATTTATGCGGATCGTCGCACGCTCGACGCCAAGCTCTGCGTATCCTCGCCGTTTTTACACGCGATTCACGGCCACGATGCGAGGCGAACGCACGAAATAATTGCCGATACGGGGACGGTTCGCAACACGAAACTGCACATGGCACGGAGACAGATGCTTTAAATCGAACCCCGCGTTTTAGCCGGTCTCTCGGAGCAGTTTCGAGCAGTGCGAAACCGAACGCATTCTTCGTGCGCGCGTGTCGAGTTACGCCGAGCGGAGCGGAGCCGAGCCGAGCCCGGCTCTTTTTTTTGTGGATCGTCACACGACACCTCTGGAAACCGCCCGAAAAACATAATCCACAATGCGGTGGGCGCGTGTCACGCCGCTGTAATTAGGGTGATATTCCCATAAAAGCTGTCGGAGCAAGGTGGACCGCAAATACCATTACCGTGCGCGTTATTAGAGGTCTAAGCTCGCCCTCTTAAATATCACGGTGTTGTATAACTGTAACGCGAACCGTGCCTCGAACGAAACATCGGGGAACGTTTATATCGAGTAAGAAGCTTCCTCGATGGAACCGCATCTTTTCTTTCTCGATTGTCGAAAATTAGTGCTTGCCAATATCTAAGATTTTTATACAGCGATCCGCGAAAGTGTTCGTATACCTTTTAAAACGCAATAACTGTTTCCAAACTGGACCAAGTGACTTGAATTTTTTTTAATTGATAGCGATAACCGGTTTACCAGACGATGGCCAAAATGCTTTTTCTAAATTTTGCTATTATTTAGAATGCCAAAAAGAGAAAGTAGAAAACACTCGTTCTTTTTTATTAGTAACCCTTATTTTTACCTGTTCATTTTTCTCACGACTGCATAAAATCGGCAGTCCAGCTGCGAGCTGAATTTGAAGATTCAACGTCTGTGAATTTATTCGCTGCAATTTCAACAGATTTCGATGAAACGTTCTGAAATTTATAAATTCAGAAATGATAACACATTTCCCTAAAATCTCCCGCGATTACCTAAACAAAGGCTCGCGACAAATCGTGTCGCAGCGGAAACCTTCCACGGACAGTGACTGAATCTTGACCACTTGTGGACCACGTACAAAGCATTGTTAAGCCTCCGAACAGTCAAACAATATTTCCTCAAATACATAGGTTGCACAGTATAAACGAATGATCGACGGGCAAGCCGGCTGCGTCGCGTCGCGTCGCGTCGTCTGGGTTGGCGAGGCAACACGAACATCGACGCTCTTTCGCGTGCTATTCCCACTTAGAGCAAACAATCGGCTGGCACCTCGACAAACAAAAAGGCCGCACTCTGGGTACTTAACCGAGGTTCCGTCTTCCACGTATTCAACCGTGGCTGCGACGTACCCACCCTGCGAGCGGCTTAGGTAGTTCCGGGACGGAGAAGCAGACGCGAGCAAGAAAAACCGTGATCCGTTCCGCGTGCACCAGAAAAATCGATCTCGAACAGAACGGGGACAAAACGTTCGGCGCATCTCCGACAACTTCCCGGCCGGTTCTTCGGCGTCGCTCGTTTCCTTCGGGCTCGCGAGACCGAGAAGAAGAACCACGTTTCGGATCAGCGGTACTCGCGATTCTTTTATTAAGAAATTGTGCGAATCATTCTTTACGTAACTTTCAGGATCATTCGTCTCATATTCGAGGAATAGGTACAAATTTCCTCTTCGATAAGTATGAAATAGATATCGTGCCCTGGACCGATTTCTCAAGAGCCTACAGCAAATTGCAGCATCTTTCCTGCGAACTTTGGGAGGACGAAAGAAGCAGCGAAGCTTCTACTATTTGTTTTTCAATAAGAAGAGACGTATGCGGTATTTTAGAACAATCGAAGATAGCTCGCAGAGACACATTTTACAGCGCGAACAAAAAAGAAACCGTTTCTAGGAGCGGAAAATGTGTGCATCTCGCGAAATGCGCGAGGGTTGAACGCGAACGAAACGAAGCAGATTTACGCGATTCGATAGAGAATCAACGCGTAAAACCGATGCGGTAAATAAACGCTTGTTAGTCGACGATGGAAGGTGTAACGCGGAATCGACGATTTAACGGATATTTAACGGTCGAACCTGCGGCCGCCGAGCGTGTTGAAGACAACAAAAAGAAATTGATCTTTCGGAGTTTGCGTATCGGGGTTCGAGCTGTTCGCTTTCGATTCGGACGAGGGACAGCCGACGGGCTCGGGCAAGCGGTCTTATTACACGGGGACAGGTACGCGTAACCGTGGCGAATGCAAATGTCGCGCGCATCGCCGCGTCGCGGCCGGCTCGCGTGCTCTCTCGAGGGATCAACGATTGCAATCACCGATGTCACGGGCGGGTCTTATTGGCCGTGATACGCCTAATAGATCGATACCACCCATTATTACGCTTCCCCCTGCTGTTGCCGAGCGGTTCGTCCTACAAATAACACGCCGCGGCGAGCGGGCGATCCGCGCGCGCGCGCTTTTCTAATGAGGTAGCCGGGCCTGCACGTGACCGGATCTCCGCGCGCTTCGATTTTACGCGCGCGAGCCGACCGAGATGATAAGAGACGCCGCGCGACTCGCGTCGGAATCACCGTGTTTCCGGGGCCACCGTGCCGAGGATGCCTCTGTTTTGCGACCCACCCGGCTATCCTCTCGCCAAGGCCAATGGCCCTGTCACTGCTGTTTTTGTTGCCGGCCGTCCAGCTGCTTCGATCGTCATTAACCCTTCTGCACTCGAACGATTTCCGAGGCTCGCTTACCCGATACTCGAACGTATTTACTCGCGAAACGATAAGCGACGCGTCGAGCGTGGTGTAAAATAACGTTGAAAATTTGCATAGAATTTTTTATAGAATCTAGCATAACGTTGCATCGAGAGAGAGAGAGAGAGAGAGAGATTTTATGAAACAAAAATCGGTAAGTGTAAGCTATACTATAGTAAGCTATACTATAAGCTATACTATAGTAAGCTATACTATAAGCTATACAATAGTAAGCTATACTATTAGCTATACTATAGTAAGCTATACTATAAGCTATACTATAGTAAAGCTATATATCCGAGTACAAAGCCATAAAAGCAACGCAAACAATAGACATTTATCTCGCTAAACTTTCTTCGTTTAGTCAGCTGTAGAAGCGTTAACAACCTAACCGATCGACAGCCGAAACCTTCCGAAGGTAATCTTCAAGAGCACGTGTGAAGGTCTCGTTCAACGAAGCAAGCATTCTTCGGAACGACTTCTAATTCGAGGAACCGACATGCTCGTCTCTTTCGGGCGTTCGTCGAATTCGCCCACCGAATTCGCCGTTAACCGGTAGCTCCGTAGTCGAGCAAACCCCCCGATCGGAGTAATTACTCACCACGTGGATTCCCTCCGAGTCCCTCCTGAGGTCGCCACCTCTCTGGCCAGCCGTGACGGCGGCGCTCAGGTGATTGTAATGATGTTGATGCAACGTGTTCAAGGTTTGCGTGTACGGGTCGCCGACGAGGTAATCGAGATGCTGCGGCTGGCCGAGGCTCGGGTGTTGAGGGCTCGCCGGCGCATGGTGGTGCGATGGGAACGGGGGCGGGAAATACGGGGGTTGGAAGTCCGAGGCGGTGGGCAACGAGGCACCACCGTGATGCGGCATCCCGCTGCCGTTTCCGTTGCCTCTGTGACCATGATGATGGGCGCCGGAATACGGCGAGGAGTTGCCACCGCCCAGTGAGGATATACCCCCATGGCCAGTTAAACGGTCCTGCGAACAAACAAATGCCACGGTTAGAAAACTCTTCGTCGAGACCGAAGTCGGTCGTTGCCGGACGCAGGATATCCCAGAAATGTCTCGCAATCTGGAAATGGGAGGTTCTTGAGGCCATTTCGAGTAACTTTTTCCTTAGCGAAAATGCAATCCGAGGCTTCGTTCGCGAGTTATCGAGGAAAAACTGTGACCAATGAAAGGTCGCGATCAGCTGGCGCGAGACGGCCGAGCCAATCGGCGGAACTGGGCTTCGCGCGCTCGTCGACTGGACCGCCTCCCGTCAGTCGAGCTCGCCTCTCATTGGTCGCTGTTTTTTGTCGATAACTCGTAAACGAAGCCGCGGATTGCATTTTCGCCGAGGAAAAAGTTGCTCCGAATGACCTTAGGAACCCTTCCCCCATTTCCGTATTGCGAGACATTTTTGGGACACCCTGTAGTATTATCTGTAAAATAGGTCTTCTGTTACTTCGTTTCGTGGTTTTCTTTGCACTATAGTCTTAGACAATAATGTTCTAATAGCAGAAAGAAGGATTGTACAGGATCGTAGGTTACACTCGCATTCAGAAATTGATTATTCTGTCAACGCGTTAGTCGGTTTCAGAGTTCGCTGGATTCAGCGTCAGTTGCAACACGATCATTTTCAGCGATGCCCGAATGTCGCCACACGAGTGCAAAGGGTTGCCGGAGAATGAAAACACCGAACACTCGGTTTTTGTCGCTTCAAACGTAATCGCGTTGCAAGATGAAAAATCGGATAATCGAGGCTCCACGGCGAATTACGTCGATGTAATTCGATGCATCTTCGCGTCAATGTGTTACAGAGAAATCGTTTGTCGTTCGTCGCGTTGCTATTCGAGTCTCTCCCCGCGGACGCTGTTGCGGAACCTTTTAAAAAAATGCCGATTCACGAAGCAACCGAACGTATTTTTGCCAGCGCGATTCGCATTATCATTAACGAGTTTCGTTGCTCAAGCACCGCGGCTATTTTTTGTTGCCGGTATCGCGGCGCGGCGTGTTCCTTTAATTCGTATCTCCGTTCGTCGAAAGACAGCGCGGAGCTCGGATCATCCATAATCTATTTGCACCTTAATTGTCTGTAATAATCGTATCTGTCGAAAGGCCGCACGCATCGACGGGAAGCGTACGGTAACGCGGAGCAGAAGAAAAAGAGCAACGTAATAACCGTAATGAATGCGCAACGTAGGGAGGGAGGGGGGAGGAGGAGGAGGAGGAGACGCGTTCTCATCGATATATAATACATGTGGCTCGTACGGAGCTTTCGCCGCTATTAAAAAATCAGTGGCCGGCGTAATTGCGTTGACTAATGTCCGTCGTTGACGGTCGGGAAAAAAATCGTGTCAGCCGAGCCGGAGGTCCGCCGTTACTATAAACGACGAGTATAAGGAACAGTACCGTTTATCGGCCGAAGGTGGTGAACATAAACGCGGATAAATGCTATGCAAATCTTATGGCGAACAGAACACCGCGGANATACGGGGGTTGGAAGTCCGAGGCGGTGGGCAACGAGGCACCACCGTGATGCGGCATCCCGCTGCCGTTTCCGTTGCCTCTGTGACCATGATGATGGGCGCCGGAATACGGCGAGGAGTTGCCACCGCCCAGTGAGGATATACCCCCATGGCCAGTTAAACGGTCCTGCGAACAAACAAATGCCACGGTTAGAAAACTCTTCGTCGAGACCGAAGTCGGTCGTTGCCGGACGCAGGATATCCCAGAAATGTCTCGCAATCTGGAAATGGGAGGTTCTTGAGGCCATTTCGAGTAACTTTTTCCTTAGCGAAAATGCAATCCGAGGCTTCGTTCGCGAGTTATCGAGGAAAAACTGTGACCAATGAAAGGTCGCGATCAGCTGGCGCGAGACGGCCGAGCCAATCGGCGGAACTGGGCTTCGCGCGCTCGTCGACTGGACCGCCTCCCGTCAGTCGAGCTCGCCTCTCATTGGTCGCTGTTTTTTGTCGATAACTCGTAAACGAAGCCGCGGATTGCATTTTCGCCGAGGAAAAAGTTGCTCCGAATGACCTTAGGAACCCTTCCCCCATTTCCGTATTGCGAGACATTTTTGGGACACCCTGTAGTATTATCTGTAAAATAGGTCTTCTGTTACTTCGTTTCGTGGTTTTCTTTGCACTATAGTCTTAGACAATAATGTTCTAATAGCAGAAAGAAGGATTGTACAGGATCGTAGGTTACACTCGCATTCAGAAATTGATTATTCTGTCAACGCGTTAGTCGGTTTCAGAGTTCGCTGGATTCAGCGTCAGTTGCAACACGATCATTTTCAGCGATGCCCGAATGTCGCCACACGAGTGCAAAGGGTTGCCGGAGAATGAAAACACCGAACACTCGGTTTTTGTCGCTTCAAACGTAATCGCGTTGCAAGATGAAAAATCGGATAATCGAGGCTCCACGGCGAATTACGTCGATGTAATTCGATGCATCTTCGCGTCAATGTGTTACAGAGAAATCGTTTGTCGTTCGTCGCGTTGCTATTCGAGTCTCTCCCCGCGGACGCTGTTGCGGAACCTTTTAAAAAAATGCCGATTCACGAAGCAACCGAACGTATTTTTGCCAGCGCGATTCGCATTATCATTAACGAGTTTCGTTGCTCAAGCACCGCGGCTATTTTTTGTTGCCGGTATCGCGGCGCGGCGTGTTCCTTTAATTCGTATCTCCGTTCGTCGAAAGACAGCGCGGAGCTCGGATCATCCATAATCTATTTGCACCTTAATTGTCTGTAATAATCGTATCTGTCGAAAGGCCGCACGCATCGACGGGAAGCGTACGGTAACGCGGAGCAGAAGAAAAAGAGCAACGTAATAACCGTAATGAATGCGCAACGTAGGGAGGGAGGGGGGAGGAGGAGGAGGAGGAGACGCGTTCTCATCGATATATAATACATGTGGCTCGTACGGAGCTTTCGCCGCTATTAAAAAATCAGTGGCCGGCGTAATTGCGTTGACTAATGTCCGTCGTTGACGGTCGGGAAAAAAATCGTGTCAGCCGAGCCGGAGGTCCGCCGTTACTATAAACGACGAGTATAAGGAACAGTACCGTTTATCGGCCGAAGGTGGTGAACATAAACGCGGATAAATGCTATGCAAATCTTATGGCGAACAGAACACCGCGGATAGCTTACGGGCAGAATGTAGGTGTGCCCGGGATCTTTGTCAAGAAAATTGTGGTAGATGTTAACCGCGGGTCGGAAAAATCGGAAACGCGATAAGATACTGCTGCCGGTCTCCGTGCGGTACGTTTCAGAACGGTTTCGTTATTTTCGCCGTTCCTTGACAGTCGTTTATCATCGACTTTATTATTGTTACACGTGTCCGCTAGTATTTTAACGACAGCCGATAAATTTTCGATTTTATTCCGTTTTGTCCGACGCCTCCTGCTATTTGTTCGATCGCAGTGGTCCGCCGATAACTCGAACGTTACGCGACGAGAGGTCCGTTTACCCGATCGAGGGAGCGATGCTGCTGATTCTTTTTGCTCCGCGTCGAATTAGCGGTGGCAAAACGTAATGGTAACATAGAGAACTCGCGAAGGATTTGTTCCAGCGAATCCTCGATTCTTCCCATGGATCTACTCGGCCGGGGCTTTTTTTACAACAACGAATGGTTTCGCGGTTTTTAAAACGATCGTTCGCCGAACGCCGCTTCAGACCTCTGACATCGCATCGCTCAAATCGAGAGATAATTATAGCAGAGTGTCTAACGCTGCAATTAAGCGGCGCAAAAAACTGCGACTATTCAATTTAGATGCCTACAAGGAATAAATTCTATATCCTGTTTTTCAAGGCGAATGGTGCCTTGATCTCGCTCGTTCGCTCGTCATTCGATGCTTTTATCGTAATGATACCTTCGGCGAGAAAAATATCTGTCTCGAAATCGGCGTACCCGGAACAGTGAGGTAACGCCGAAATTAGGACGCCGGAGGGACACGTTTCCGGTCCAGTTGCGAGGAGAGGGAAATTATAGAGTTCGAACGTTTGCTACGGGGAGCACGGAAACTTTTTACAATTATCCTACGCGTTGACAGCACCCGGAATCCTATTCGGGAATTCTTATCTTGATCTTGCTGCGATCGAGATTTCGTTCGGAGCAAACCTCGATGACTTACGATCGGAAATCTCCGTGCTCCGTCGAGCCTCTGTTCCTCATTTCGGACCGCGAAGCGTAATCGGCCGATGTCCGACGAGCAACGCAAACTTCGTCCTTTTTATCGCCCGTTTATAACCGTCCGTTAATTCGCGATTGTTTCAAGCATTCGTCGTGTTACGCATTGTTCTTTGTTTCGTACGAGAAAGCCTCCGTTGCTCAACCGCGCGTTAAAGTTCAGATGAGAATCTCTGTAGAAAACGCTGATTACATCGGAGTCTATGCGAGCCATTGATTGTATGAAATATCGGTCACAAATCGCACGATCATCAAAGCAAATTGCCCAGGTGTGATCAAGCATATTTTCGTCTGGAAATTCAGCGAACTCTGTACGCGCGCGAGTCGAGGCGCGTGTTGCAAACGAGGCAACAAAGTATACGTTGTTAACGGCAAAAAGTAGAAGCAATAATTTCCCAACGATCTATCGGTGCTCGGGTTCCTCGAAAGTCGTCCGATCGATCCGAACGCGCTCGCACTCTTCGATCGAATTCCGTTTCGAAAAATTCTTCCGTTTCCGCGCGAAACGATCGATGTCAACGAAGCTGCGATTATTTCAACGGTGAAAAGAATCGTTCGAGTTTCAGAACTTTTTACGGAACAGCGAAAAAAGATGTTGCAAGACTCGGACCACGGGATTCCTCGGTGCCACGAATACGTAGTATCCCTCGGATAGATGGTATCGGCGGTGATTTATTTGAATAACAGCGAAAGGCTTTGTATCGACGCTATACCGGCGCGAGCCATTAGGTCTTTGCTCTCGTGATACGATCTCGAACATCTCTATATCCCGTGAAAGGGCCAACGCGCACTTTTTCTTCGTTCGTACAACTTTCTACGCGTGAATGGCACGCGAAGATTCCACCTGCGAACCGCTCGATTCGTCGCTTTGTTACCTTCTAATTTGTTAACGAAGCGCGAACCTTTCTTTTTGCCGAGTTTTCTCTTTCTACCAAGTTTTCTCGGTCGATCATTCTTCATTTCGATCCAGCAAGTTTCGAGTCCGATCCATAAATTAACCCTTTGCACTCGAGGCTATTTTAACTCCAAAATGAAGACATTCGTTTCAACCTACAGTATTTGGTATGATTCTTTTTATTCGATACGTATGAAATTGAACGCGTATGCTTATAGAAGGCTTCTATTGTTTGACAATTTATCGAATACAGACAAATTTAATAATGTGGAAATTCTTCTGAAAACAGTGCGGCAATTTTTAGCGTCGCCTCAGAGTCGCCACTCGAGCGTAAAGGTTTAATGAGAATCGAAGCGAACGAAAGACGTTCGTCTCGCCGACCGTATAGCTAATATTTTTTTTACTGAAAACATTTCGAGCATCGACGAACGTCGCGAGCGCGCGAATCGACGGAATAATCGGCGATCGCCGAGATTTGCGCGAGTAGAACGAGCCCGAAATTAGGAAGCGGCGCGCGGAGCGACCGGTTAGGGCGTAGTCGGACAGGAAGAGGAATTCGATATACTGGAGAAGGCGGCTCGTAACGGCATTTAACGGCGTCGTTCCAAAATTGAACGGAAAGGTCCGTTATAGAAGGGGGCTCTCGCTCGGGCAAACAGGTGACTGCCTAATCTGCCCGATACCGGCGCGGCGCGGCGAGCAAACGAGCCAAAAATTCACCGCGCTTTCCAAGCCGGTCGTTTACAAATGGTCGTTTCGAAATTTACGCGGCGCGGCGCGGTGTCCGCGCTGCAGCCGACGACTTCCGCACGAAAATATTGGTGACTTAACGATAGGCGTCGTTACCATCCGAGGAAGAAGTACCGTTCCTTTCGACGCCGCAGGAAAAGACATTAAGAACTCTTCAATTTGCAGTTATATTCGTTATTCGATCATTACATGGGCCCCGACTTTCACGTGCTCGGGGACCCTGGACGAAACGGTGCCCGAAATACAGGGTGGTACCGTCGTTTCGGCAGCCTTTGCTAGAAAATGCACGCGACTGTCTTCTTCTCGCGGATTTTCATTACTTTACGGAACTCGAAATTGAGCTCTATTTTTCGTCCTCAACGTTCAGTCATTAAAATGATAAGTCAGTCATAAAGCCATCGTTTAATAAGCTTTCTTCATCGTTTAGTAACTTATTTCGATCCATACCTCTGTAGCGAAGTTTCTGGCGTCGCTTCAGACGTTAATGTTCGTGCTTTACGAGTATGCGCTATTATCGAGCGTCGACGTTTATTAATATTTTAGACCAACGTTCGTCGACCCATCGTATTTTCTCTTATTTCCGTTCGTAACGTGTAAACGTGTAAACGTTTCATTTAACACGGTTCTGTTCACCGTTCGTGCGACAGAACTTCGCTTCGCGCGTCTATAAACGTATGGTCGCACGGTTTGCAAATAAAGAGATTCCGGCAAACGAAGTCAATTCGAAGAAACAAAACCGAATCCTATCGGCTGGCACGGATATCGTTGATCGCATTATCACGACTGTGCTATTCTAAAGCGATCGAGAGCGGTTGCGAAACGTTCGAACGCGGACGTTCGAGGTTCTTTTAATAGTCGAAAGTACGAGACATCGTTCGGCAGTTTATCGTCTACATGCTCCGGTGACACACGGTCCCATGATCGATCGAAGCGAAGAAAGTCATTTTAAAGAGTCAGCGCCGGCACGAATCACAGTTTGAAAAGAAGGCCAGCGATCGTTTAATAGCCGGTTCGATCGGAGAACGATCTGTCGCTGTACACGCATAAAATTTCGAGCGGCCAACAACCTGCAAACGGTCGGCTCGTTTCACAAGACGCATAGCCGAACTTTCCAGCCGAGATCGCTATTGATAACGCAGGAGAAATCGTCCCTGTTGCCACACACACATACACGCGCACACACAGACGCAAGTAGACAATTAATAACCAATAAGTCGACCCGTGTCGAAATCGAGAGATCGTAGATTAAGGACAAACGACTAGGAAAGAGAATCTAGACCTCCGGTGTACGAGTCGAACGTTAAACGCGCCGTGATTCACCCGACTCGTTGACTTTGAGTCACTCGTTAATTGCTCGTCGCGCGGAAAAATAAATTAAACTTTAATGCCGCGACGACCAACCTTCTCTCGCGACAAACAACATTTTCTTGCGATCGTTGTGCCGCGGCTTGCCCGTTTTCATTATTTATGCTCTCTTCGAACAACTCGCGGAGCAATCGTCTACGGTCTATCCGTCGACGCGACGAAATTGGTAATAGTAAGTCCGAGTTTCGACGTAATTAACCCAGGAGGACAAACAGCGGTTCGTACGTAAGCTCGATACGCGCGACGTTTCTAAGAAATGTGGTCCAAGGATTCTCCGGCGCTTCAAGGAACGATAATTCATTGAACGCGTCCATGCGAAAACCTTCGTAAACCCGATAAAAACTTGTGCACGCTCGAAGCACTGATTTATCGCAGATACATGGTAACGTCGACGACGCGATCCCAACAACCGATCCTCTACCGCCAGAGAATTATTCAGACGTATCGAGCATTTCGTACGAACTCGCGGTGCCCCAAACTTTTCAGTCGATTCGCCGGTTTACCGTAAAGTATCGGGAAGATCGTTCGACGAAGATACTTCGGACAATTGCTTCGAGGTATTCCGACTAATTCGATAACGGTCCGAAGCGAGAACTTCGGTATCCGGTAACCAGCGACGCTTAAAAATAGCGGCGTTTTTTCCCGCGGCCGAGACGATCGATGATCGCGTCATCGAGAAACGATAACTCCGAACTTCTCGTCGGTCTTCGATCGCGAAAAACTTGTCAACGTCGACTGGCGGTCGCCACTTCGCTATTATCCCCCCTATCTCGACGCACGAAAGTCCGTCGACCGTCGCAGCAAAATCTGTGCGACAGCGTTCCGAGATGCGATTCGAGACCTCGCGACTCGCATAGAATGATTTCGAATGGGAACACGCACCTCGACCTCGATCACCGTGGTCATGTCAACGTGCGGCGCGTAACAGAGCGCCAGCTTGTCCGCTGTCGGCGCTTCCGTGCGCGGCGGAAACATCCCTAGGATCTCCAGTTTGCCGGTTCGGTTGTCGTATCCGTCGCAGTCGCCGTTCGAACCCGTTTCCGCGTGGAACCCACTGTCGCCGCACTATATTCCCCGGCACATCACACACGCACGGTGTCAATCTCGCACCACCTCGCGGCTACCTCGACTATACCCGACTCTGGTCTATCACGGATCGAGGCACTGCACACTGCGATATCACTTCCGACCAGCGGCGGAGCTCTCGTCACCCCCAACCGACCACCGAGACGACACGAAGGGCCAACCGGAAACCGAACGCTACGCACTGCGCCGCTTTCGCACAATTTATTCGACGCGGCGCGACGCGACGGTAGAATGAACGACGCCGGCTCGCGGCGGTCGTCCTGGCGCATCGGAGGACGAGGAAGAGGTACGGACTCCGCCGGAAGAGTCTCGGCGGTCTTCCGACTCGCGAGATCGCTGAAGAGAGAGAAAGAGAGAGAGAGAGAGAGACAGAGGCGTGGAAGACGAGTTTAGAGAGCAGGTGGCGAGCAAGACCCGACCGGTCGGAGGGTGCGAGAGGAAGGATGCTCCGTGGATCGGAGAGGACCGGCGAGGATGCGCGACGGTCGGTCGCGCGGTGACTCGAGCATGATCGCCGGCCGATGATCAATCCGGCGCATCAATCCGCCGTTCCGCGTGGATGGCATCGATGATACATCCGGCGGCTTTCCGGTTTCCCAACTGACCTCGAGAGATCGGGCCGATCGCGGGCGATCGGGCTGCGAGACGGGCCGATCTCGCGCGCGCGCGTGGCTCCCGCCGTCGGAGCCGTCGGAGTCGTCGGAGCGGTCGTCGGACTCGCGAGTCGCGCCGGTGCGCAAACGAGGAGAACAGCTGATCGGCTGATCGAGCGGTGTGTTGCGGCCGACCGACTGAACCACGGGGACGACGCCGACCGTACGAAAGTATAGCTAACCGCCGTGTGCGAGCACGCCGAGGACGAAATGGGAGGTGGTACGGTGTGTGCTCTTACCGAGAGAGCTACTACTACCACTACTAGTCCGACGACGACTACTACTACTCGCGACAGCCACCAGCCACCACCATCCGGACCGGCCGCGGCGGAGGACGACGACGACGCCGCGCCGGCAGCTGCACCACCACCACCACCACCATCGCCGCCACCACCACCACCACCAGCGCGGCACCACCATCACCATTACCACCACCAACTTGGGAGAGTTCTACCCTACCATCCTGGAAACGAGAGAACCGAGGATAGGAGAACGGAGAGGTCTCGTTTCTACGCGCGCACGGACGACCGAAATTACGCCCGAGGATACGAGCCACCACGTGCAACTACTCCTAGAGCCGCCCCACCAAAGGATCCCGATCCACGAGGGGACGATCCACGAGACAGCGAATAGGAGAGATACCTCGCGGGCTCTCGCGACGCTCGCCGACGCTTCCCGACGCGGATGCTGCACCGCGACGCGTTCCGGCGACCCGGCGAACCTTGGGGTGCGAGCTGCGCGATCGTCTTCTCTGGGGACGTGGTGAAAGATCCGACCGGATCGCCATGGTTTTTACGCTCTCCTGACTGCAGACTCTGGTCGACTCTTTTTATAATTTTTGGAACATCGTTGATGGTTGTGTAAATGTCTGGCATTTTCGATGCTATTGAAAATGGATAATTTGTATGTTTTACGGCCTTGTCCGTTTTTGGTAAGACGGCCCTTGCGGTCCATCTACAGGGCACGCGAGCGCTAAACGCGCGTCGACTCGAGTCGAGCAAATTTTCACTCGAAAGTCCGTTACACGCGGTGTGAGAACGGATTGGTTATTTATGACCATTAAGGATTTTCCGACCCACAGTTTGCGTGTCTTCCGCGGTTTTTTAGTCAGTCGTCGGTGAGCAGCTTACGAGTACACTCGTTGTCTCTAAGCTCTCACGAGCAAGCCTGTATATTAGATCTTGCGTTTCCGTGTGTTCAATAAATATACTTTTACCTAAAACTCTGTCTTTAATTATTTGCAAGCAAATAATCGACAGGTTGGCTTTCGTTTCTCGGATTTTGTTTGAATTTCAACGAGACCGCCGCTCCTCGAAATCCTCGAAAACCTGATTGCAGATTATAAGGAACATCGTAAGATCACGATAGAGAAGTGACGAAGTAATTACGCGTCTCCGCTATGTGTACGAGCGTTCGATCAATTGGAACATCGAGTGTGACAGATCGGAGAACGCGTCCATGGGAAAATTTCTTTTACGGCATAGTAAAATATAATTACAGTTTATCGTGCTTGCGCTCGTCGACGTAATTGCAGCTTATTAAAAATATTACACGAGCAGCTTACAACATTTCTGACTTTATTAAATCTTGATTACCGACCTCGTAAATCGTTGAGTGCCGCTAGGAAGCTTTTTGCCGCTAATCTTTATTGCGGCCAGCAGTCGGCCGTAATAAAGCATACCGTCGAAATAAATATTATAATTTGCGCGAGACAAAGAAACGCGATAAAGCAGAATTAACGAATCGACGGACAGATCGAGAGGATTATTGATTGGTGTTACGAAATTCAGGTTACCCGTAATAATCTATGAAAAGTTGATCGCTGACAAATAAAGAAGCGGCGCTGTCCTACCGTGTAATCTTGCGCAATACGGTCCGTTAGTCGCTGGACGCGTTCCTAGTACCTAATTAAGTTAATTTACAGACCAATGAAATATGTCCGGACAAGTCGTACGACAAGCGCGTCGTATCTGTGATTTTTATTTTCTACAAACACAGGAGGAGGTGTGTTCGAGTCGATAACTTTAGAATAATTGATTGCAATATATCCCTTGCAATTTTCTTCGATCGATCTTTAAACGCTCAAGTAGCTTGTACACTGGTTTCCAATGCCATTTCTCGGACAGTTTCCAGAATTTTTGTTTTAGAAGGAAGTACACGATCGTTTTTTATTCTGGTTAAAAGAAGAATATAAGGAATCTTCTCATTTCGAACTAAGATAATTTTTATATTAATAAAGTCTAGATTCCAGAAATTGTTAAAAGCGTAACTGCTGCGCGAGAGTCGCAAGACTCAATTGCATACGCATAAAATGCACTTTGTCGTATAAAATGAAAATACTATAAGTCAGAGAAATTATCTTGGATTTACAGTTAAAGTAGCTTCGAATGCAAAGAGTTAACGCGAATCGTCGATACGACGAAACGAGTGTACCGCGTCTTCCATATTTTTACACTATATTTTTACCTCGGTGGTGGTACAAGCGACNCTTCTCTGGGGACGTGGTGAAAGATCCGACCGGATCGCCATGGTTTTTACGCTCTCCTGACTGCAGACTCTGGTCGACTCTTTTTATAATTTTTGGAACATCGTTGATGGTTGTGTAAATGTCTGGCATTTTCGATGCTATTGAAAATGGATAATTTGTATGTTTTACGGCCTTGTCCGTTTTTGGTAAGACGGCCCTTGCGGTCCATCTACAGGGCACGCGAGCGCTAAACGCGCGTCGACTCGAGTCGAGCAAATTTTCACTCGAAAGTCCGTTACACGCGGTGTGAGAACGGATTGGTTATTTATGACCATTAAGGATTTTCCGACCCACAGTTTGCGTGTCTTCCGCGGTTTTTTAGTCAGTCGTCGGTGAGCAGCTTACGAGTACACTCGTTGTCTCTAAGCTCTCACGAGCAAGCCTGTATATTAGATCTTGCGTTTCCGTGTGTTCAATAAATATACTTTTACCTAAAACTCTGTCTTTAATTATTTGCAAGCAAATAATCGACAGGTTGGCTTTCGTTTCTCGGATTTTGTTTGAATTTCAACGAGACCGCCGCTCCTCGAAATCCTCGAAAACCTGATTGCAGATTATAAGGAACATCGTAAGATCACGATAGAGAAGTGACGAAGTAATTACGCGTCTCCGCTATGTGTACGAGCGTTCGATCAATTGGAACATCGAGTGTGACAGATCGGAGAACGCGTCCATGGGAAAATTTCTTTTACGGCATAGTAAAATATAATTACAGTTTATCGTGCTTGCGCTCGTCGACGTAATTGCAGCTTATTAAAAATATTACACGAGCAGCTTACAACATTTCTGACTTTATTAAATCTTGATTACCGACCTCGTAAATCGTTGAGTGCCGCTAGGAAGCTTTTTGCCGCTAATCTTTATTGCGGCCAGCAGTCGGCCGTAATAAAGCATACCGTCGAAATAAATATTATAATTTGCGCGAGACAAAGAAACGCGATAAAGCAGAATTAACGAATCGACGGACAGATCGAGAGGATTATTGATTGGTGTTACGAAATTCAGGTTACCCGTAATAATCTATGAAAAGTTGATCGCTGACAAATAAAGAAGCGGCGCTGTCCTACCGTGTAATCTTGCGCAATACGGTCCGTTAGTCGCTGGACGCGTTCCTAGTACCTAATTAAGTTAATTTACAGACCAATGAAATATGTCCGGACAAGTCGTACGACAAGCGCGTCGTATCTGTGATTTTTATTTTCTACAAACACAGGAGGAGGTGTGTTCGAGTCGATAACTTTAGAATAATTGATTGCAATATATCCCTTGCAATTTTCTTCGATCGATCTTTAAACGCTCAAGTAGCTTGTACACTGGTTTCCAATGCCATTTCTCGGACAGTTTCCAGAATTTTTGTTTTAGAAGGAAGTACACGATCGTTTTTTATTCTGGTTAAAAGAAGAATATAAGGAATCTTCTCATTTCGAACTAAGATAATTTTTATATTAATAAAGTCTAGATTCCAGAAATTGTTAAAAGCGTAACTGCTGCGCGAGAGTCGCAAGACTCAATTGCATACGCATAAAATGCACTTTGTCGTATAAAATGAAAATACTATAAGTCAGAGAAATTATCTTGGATTTACAGTTAAAGTAGCTTCGAATGCAAAGAGTTAACGCGAATCGTCGATACGACGAAACGAGTGTACCGCGTCTTCCATATTTTTACACTATATTTTTACCTCGGTGGTGGTACAAGCGACTCTAAGAAGCGCGACTTCGCGCCACTTCGAAACCGAGCCGACGAACAAATACGCGGAATGAGATGTTTCACGGAAGAAATGTTAATTTCGCAGAAATCCGCGATGTTGCAGCGCGCGCGGACGGATCACGGCCGATCTATGGATTACACCAGGTAGCTCGTACGTTAACGATATTTATCGGTGGTCCACGGGACAAGATTAGATCGTGACACCCGATAACAGCCGGCGTAGTTATCGGATTCGGGATACGTTTCGCGGCGGGAGGCGCGAGAGGCGCGACGTATTAATTAAACGCGACTCGGCTCGGCGCGGCGCGGCGCCGGCAGAAATACGTTCCCGTGCGTTCCGAACCGCTTTTCCGTCACTGTTCATTCATGCCGCGCGAGCCGCCATTAATTTGCAGGATGAAAACGGGCCGGCGAAGCAACGCTATAGGTCGTCGGCATACGCGGGGCGTAATTTATGCCGATGTAAATTCTGCAGCGTAATTACGTCTCGGAACGCCATTCACAGCTGCGACGAGTCGCCGACGACGGGACGCGCGATGCTGCGAAAAGATGCGCGACACCGGAAACGCGAGATACCCCGGACTCGAAGACACCGGGTCCGCGTCGATCTTGCAATTTCAGCGCATTCCGGAATCTGGTCGCA